TTCAGCAGTTGTTTGACTAACTGAGCACCATCTGATGGAAATGCCGGGAGTGACTGGACTTGGAAAGGTAACCTTAGGTGAAGGTTGGGTGGGAGAACTTGACTGGTGTGTGGCCGTGAGTTTCCTCAGCTTTAACATCACAAGAGTCCCATGGTAGAGAAAGCCCCTGCCAAGACTTGGACCTCATTACTTCCCTGTCCTCGACAAGTACGATTTAATTGAACATTAAGCAATTTGATCTCTTTCACCTAATAAATCGAGCAAATTCAATAAACATAAATCCTGCTAATGATAGAACTGACCCTGGTGGGGCTGAGCTCATCAGCATTCATGGTTATGACTCTCCCTGGAATTTGAATCACAAGTACTTACCTGACGCCTGAGGTCTGAGGAGTTCATTTAATCATTTTGCTAGGGAGTCGGAAGGTTGGCCGTGGGACAGAAAAACATGGCTTAGCAGACAGGCCACTTAAGGTTCAGATTGCCTGACCTTGGGCAAGTTATGCCATAAACCTTAATTTCCTTATGGGAAACAAAAGGAGCTAATTACAGTTCTTTCTTGGGTTGTTCTGAGCTTTAAATGAAACTGTATATGCAAAAGCATATTGGAACTGCACTGCGTGTGCTTGCTAACTTCCTTTTTCTCAGTTGTTCTGTGGCAGGAATCTACAGTAGCTAGCATTGCACGGAATTTAGTTTCCCTATTGTTTTCTTGTCTCTTATATGTGCCTACGACTCTCTCTCTCTCTCTCTCTCTCTCTCTCTCTCTCTCTCTCTCTCTCTCAGTTAACCTTTTTCTTCTTCATCTGATGCTCACCTACAGAATGGATTTTCCCCATCTCTTCTTCTCTGTCTCAAACCCTAACCTGTTCATACTGTTCTCAGCCGCTGGTTGTATGAATGGATGAATCGATCCATGAGTCACTGAATGAATGCTGGTGACTCACGCCTGTAATCCTACCTACACAGGAGGCAAAGATCAGGAGGATCGAAGTTTGAAACCAGCCTCGGGCAAATAGTTCACAAGACCGTATCTTGAAAATACCCAACACACAAAGGGCTGGTGGAGTGGCTCAAGTGGTAGGGTGGCTGCCTAGCAAGTGTGAGGGCATGAATTTAAAACCTAGTAATGCAAAAAAAAAAAAAAAAAAAGTTAGCTTGTGCCATGGAGAAACAAGGACTAGAACCCAGAACCCAGGTTTTTTAACTCCAGGTCCTTTCTTTGGTTAGTGTGTCCAGTGTTGTGTTCAGCTCTGCACATTTCACTTCAGGAAAGCAGGATTATTGCCTTTCTGCAGAAATTATTCATTCTTCTCTGAAACAGTAGAGAGGGTGTCACTCACATGGGCAGACAGCCAATTCTACAGTGTTGTGTGAATACCAGCCATGGCCTGTCATCTTCCTTTACCAGTACTGGATGCAATATTCTGTAAACAGTCAACTTAAAAAAAATAAGATAGCTTTTGCTAATTTCCAGTAAGGAAAATTCCACACTCCATTCCCCATCCCCTTCCTCCTTATTCTAGTTGTGTAGGTGTTTTTCTAAACACCATTAACTACTAGTCCACATTTAAACCTATAGGAAAAACACCTGGTAGAGAAATGTGAGGAAAACATGACCCACTTTTCTTAATTCATAAGAACCTGTCTTTGTTTCTTATCTACCCACAGTTCAAACTGTAGCATGCGAGGTTTTTAGCCCTGGTATGTGGAGGCCTAAATACAGCCTCTGCTTTGGTTGTAAAAGCAGCTGAATTTAATCTGCCTCAGACAGAGCGAAAGCTTCACCTCCTGGTTTCCTCACATGCCAGAGTAGCACTGTGACATGTGACTGTCCAGACCAGCCCTGCAGATGTGTCTGTCATCAAGACTGGAGATTTCCTGCCAGGATATCGTAATGTGCTTCCCTTGCTGCTGACAGCAGGGGTCCCAGGCCCACTGGCTCCAGGGGGTAATTAAAAAAAAATTTTTTTTTTCAATTTAAAGTGAAAATCAAAGCAACACCATCTGTCACATGAATCTACCATGCCAGGGAAATTAGCATGTTCAATGACTTGCATCTTGTGTAAACCACTTAGCAATGGTGTCCCATACCACCTCATGTGTCCCTTTCACAGCTTTGATCCAGCTAAGCTTTGGGGAGGTGGAGTGCTGTGGGTGAGGGGAGACTGGGAGGTGCAAATATTTCCATTTCCTATTCATTTCACATTTGTGTTTGGTTGGATCCCAGATGGACACATGGTATAGGGCCTCAGAAGTGGTATTGATTCACAAACTGTGCCTCCCAGGACAAGCCCTGCTAAGCAAAACTGTTCCTCTGCACAGAGCCAAAGACATCTAGGTGATTAATTAGTGTGCATAAGTAAAGGGTGTTTGGAAAGGAAAGAGACTCTAAGGACAGAAAGTACATTGTGCATGTCCACACAGGGAGCCAAGAGATTCGAGTGGGTTCTCATGGGAAGCTGTAAAAAATAGTTCAGGGGCCCGCTGTTCTTGGGCTCTGGACCCCAGCCAAACACAATCCACTACTGTCCCCCAGGTTAGACTCTGCCAGTGACCCAATCCTAGGACTAATCAGGGCTAACATCCCCAAGACGAATGGGTATTCTTGTGGCTGGGATGCTCAGAGGCCCAGGACATGTTAGAAATTTGCCTATACCAAGACTCATTAGAATATTCTGTCTCCTTCTGTTGCTCCCCTGAAAGATAGCTGAACCCCTCTACTCAAGACCTTTTAATTCTATCAAGCAAATGCTTAGGATTGCCAGACATCTTTTCCCTATTATTTGAGTTGTGTGGATCTAATGTTAAAATGAACTATTTTTCATCATTTATCACAGCCTAATCAAGTAATTAAATTTTCAGGCAGTCAAGAATTCTGTGCTTTGTTGTTGGACATAAAGTAAGACTCCAAATCATCTTGAAACTACAAAAAATACCTACACACTGCTTTTCCATTTCACACTTCTTTGCCATGGATAGCTTTAAGTTTTAACATTAAAATTTATATCAGCCACTTACTCTGAGACTGTCTTTTTAAATCTCCATTTGCTTCAGATGTTCAGTAGAGTCTTAGTGCTTTTGCCTATCAGAAAAAGAAATTGTAACCTCCATTTTCTTGCTTCAAGATTCATGAACAGTTCCCTGCTTTTGTCTCATTTTTCATGTCAGCAACAAATAGGAATTAGTACTCCTGTAGGACAAATGTGGAAACTGAGGCACCCAAGACTGCTGTGGTGGAAAGTAAACAGTGCAATCAGGACTTGAGCCCCGGCCTTTGCCTCCAGAGCCCAGGTTCTTGCCATTACCCCAGGCTCATGTCACCCCTGACCCTGGCCAAGAATCAGAGCAGATGTGTGCAATGGGAGAGGCAACAAGAGTGGATTAGGACAGACTCGTCCATGCTCTCGGAAAAATAATTAAAAATACATGTCCTAGTGATGATGGGGATGTAACACATGTTCAAACACAAGAGAGAACACATGTAATGCAAAAATGATGTTTGATGACTGACCAAAACCATCTTGAAGCTTGGCATGTTAATATATCAGAGAAAGTAAAGTCATGAGGGACAAGAAGTTCTAGAGTCTTAAGAGTAAAAATAGATGGTGGGAGGAAAAGAGAGGAGAGAGAAGATGCATCAGGTCCCTGAGGTACCCCCCCTTCTCTCTGCCGCCCCTCTCCCCAGCTTGGGCCAGGTTTCTTCAGGAACTACAAGGTAGCTTCCAAACACAATTTCCTTTATCCATGCCTTTGGGTGGCTCTTTAAAATCAATCCAAATGTCCTTTCCCATAATTCCTGTTCACCTGCATAGCTGTAGTTCAAATACAGCCCTGTACAGGAAGCTGTTTCAGAACACTGCAGAGGAGTACGACCCTGCTCCTGCTCTTCACTCCCACCTTGGGTCCCTTCCTTTGGCATTGTGAGATGGTGAGAACTTGGAGTGGTGACAGCATCTCATTTCTTCAGTGGAGGAGGCATGGTCTCTGGGGAGAATGCAGGATAGAGGCCAGACAGCCCCAGCCAGGCCCTTTGTGTGTCACTTGACATCTCTGGGACCTCAAGTCTCAGTACAGCTTGCCCGACAGCAGTCAGATGTCCAAGGGGATGGTCCAGCCATCTCAGGATTTACTTTTACAAATAAGTATAGGAATTAATTCATTTTTAACATTCACTCTCAATCACACTGTGGCTTGGATATGAAATATTGAACAAGCCTCCCTTTCAGATGTACAACAAATGCATATAAAAAGTCAAGAGAGATGACCTCAGCCGCTTAAAACTTAGAAACATTTGAACAATCTTGCTCTCAAAGGAAAATCCTTAATGCTTCTTTTGCAAACTTTAAGCAGAACTGACAAGCATTTGTGCTCTTTCTCTTTGAACTGGGCTTTTTGTTTGTTTGTTTGATTGATTGATTGATTGGTTGGGTTTTTTTTTTTTTTTTGAGTCAAGGAACTGTTCCCAGGTTCAGCTATTTCCTTAATAAAATTAGCATTTCTCATGGAATGGGATCATGCCAGTGTGCCGGGAACATCTAGTGTCTGCGCGTCATTCCTGGAATATACCCACATCAGGAGGCTTCTAAGAAGGAATAACCATTTTTCCTGTTTCTAGTGAGTGAAAAAGTACCTGTCCATTAAGAATGACTACTCTAACCTTAAATATGTTTTTTTGATGATAACTCCTGACGGGTTTGGATAAAGCCATTCTTCCAATAGGCCAAAGCAGTCATAGGGGGACCATATTTCAGTTCCTTGGTGTTCTGGGATGTGTTCTGTGAATTACTCAGCTAGTTCTGGTCTTCAGCGGGGAATCTTAACTGCGCTCTATGGCATTCTTTGCGTTGGATGTACAGAACCCCCAGCGAGAAGGAGCAGTGCAGCTGGGGAGGCCGTTGCCAGCCCCACAGCAGCCTGAGTGGTGAGTGGGCATGTCTAGCATGAGCCAGCAGTGATGGGGTCTCACTCCACTACATGTCATCCCTTTTCCTTCTTAGATGACTATGCCCAGCTGTGTAACATCCCCGTGACAGGACGCCGGCGACCGTATGGACGCGATGCTCTGGTGGACTTCAGTGAGCAGTACACTCCAGAGACGGATCCTTACTTCATTCAGGACCGTAAGCAGAATTGTTCAGTTACTTAAACTGTGGATAGAGATTACTACAGTGTTCCCAAAATGTGATCCCTGAGAACTTGTGTGGAATGCAGATGCTCAGGGTCCAGCCAGACCTGCACGTCAGACTAGGTGGGTGGGACCCAGCAGGCTAGTTTACAAGCCCCATTGCCACTCTTCTGCACACTCAAGGTTAAGAACCCACGATTCCAAGATTAATGTTCCAGGTGGGGATGCTGTGTGTTTACTTTCTTTCCAGGATTGAAAATGATCTGACTGTTATGCTTACCATGGAAAAATTCTTTCTTTCCACGTGATGTGGTGGTCTGGTTCCTGGGTTTCTTGGAGAGCTATTTTTTCTACAAAGGAATGACAAATATCACCTGCACCAAGTTGATCGTCACCAGTGTTTTAGAGTAGGAAGTTAACAAAACATGCTATTCGTCAGAAATGAATTTTCAGAATATACTTGTGAGGGGATTTATTAAGTAAGAAGTGATGGGTGCCAGCTTTTCCTCGATTCGTGAGCAGAGCTTTCATGGGGGAGGTGGGAGTGTGTATGTTCAAATGGTGTCCCCTCTAGAAAGGAAATGTCCTGCAGAGTATGGCCAGAGGTTGTGGGCAAGGAAGCCTGCACATGCACACAAGCTCAAGGTTTCCATGGGGACATCGGATTTGAAGGTTGAAAAATGAGCAATTGAGAATGAACCGTTGGTAGACAATGAGTTGTCTCACCTCAAGAATGGGGACAGAGAAGTGCTGATTCAGGTGCCTGGCCTCACACAGGTAGTGTACCATGTTCTCAGACAGGAGTCCTTGTGGACCACAGACTTTAGGGTTAGGACTATAGGAATGCTGCTCGATTATAAAACACAGCAAAGCTTTTCTTTGCTTGGTGCTCTGTCACCTGTGCAAAGCTAGTATGTTGGGACTGAGCCCCGGGTAGCAGCAGAGCCTGAGAGCATATTTGGCGACTGTTTCTATTCTGAGTCAAAAGAGCTTTTCCTTCTTCTCTTTGGTTTTCGAAAATGTAGAAAAGCAGAGTTCCCCTATTTGAACTAATTCTTATGTGGGTTCTTTGGCTGATCTATCTACCCAACTAGTATAAGTACTGATAAACCAGAGAAAACGCATAAATGTTTATTAAAAATTTAATGGGGTAGAGGCTTCACAAGAGTGAAGTCCGAAGAAATGACCAAACATGATGCTTTTATACTGTTCTGACAAAAACCAAAAAGTTCATGGAGGAATGACAAGACAGACGGATATCTGGACTAGAAAAGTAAGTTCTAGACATGTACCTATGAGGGCTGTGGCCTAGGGATGTGAAGGACATCCCTCCCAAAAGAATCTTTGTCGTTTGCAGTGTGAAGGAAAAGACAGGCCCAGTGGCCCATGCTGAAGTTGCAGTTCCTCAAGTGATTTGACATAGTTTACCACTCCAGCTAATTTTGAGATGATCCATTCTTAACTCTTTCAAAGGATGCTGGGTTTTAATCAGCTAGCAGAATTTAGAACGGACATCAGTCCAGGCTGGACCATTAGCACCAGGCTGGACCATACAACCCCTCCCAAGTCAAGAATGTTGCCAGCATTTGGAAAGCCCTGCTGTCCTTTTCCACCCCCTTCCCAAGGCAGCCACCACCTTGACCTCTGACACCAGGAGGTTAGCAACATTTTCTTCTCATCAACGACACATGACCGCGTGTCATTCACGAAATGGGCCTGATGCACTCACAGCTATGAATGTGCACTTACGGTTGTACACATCACCGTATATGTTATAGGTCAGTAAACATTTATGTACAAAAAGAAAAAGAAATGTCAGGGTCGAAAGGGAGCCCACTCTGCCCCATAAACCCAGAAATACCAGGTAAGTCTGTATGCAAGGGCTGACCCAACCCATGGCTTGTGTGTGTAGCCTGTGTCACATTATAGTTCAGACTCCAGGAATTAAAATGTTGAAATGTCCTGGCTTATGTGTCTCCTTCTTAATGCCAGCATTCCTCTGATATTCTCTCTAAATTCACTACAAATGTTAAAAAATCCACGTTGGTGTGTCGGATCTGGCTTCTACTGAGCAACATAGGAAGATGACACAGTTCTCAGACCTCCAGCTTTGACTCCGTCGTGGCCTTTAAAAGTCCTCCAAGTTACAGAGAAATAATCTCCCCGCTCCCAGCCAGTTTCCTGGCCAGTCGCAGAAGTGATCCTGTGCAGTAGGCAGCGCACTACAGGGTAGGCTGAGCAAGGGTCTCCTCACCTTCGTGGTTCACCATCTTCGTTACCTTCAGTTTAGAAGTATTTCTAGAACTGAAGTTTATTAGCAGAGAGCACCATATTTTTCTATAAAGGGTCAAATAGTAACATTTTTTAGAATTTTCAGGCCACATAGGCTCTGTTGTTGCAATTCAACTCTGCCATGCTATCACGAAAGCAGTCGTTGACAGTTATGTTAGAAAATGGATATGGCTATACTCATTTCCAAAACGTATCAGGTCAGATTTGAACCAGGGCTGAAGTCTGCTTGCCTGTTTTAGAGTCCCACAAAAGTATTTGGGGAAATGCCTTTGGTGTATATACGAGTTTCAATTTTGATTTATGTTTTCATCTCAGGAATGGAAAATAATTTTACTGGGCTGGGGTCATGTCTCAAGTGATATAGGACTTGCATGGCTCTAAGTTCAAACCCCAGTACCACCAGTAAAGAAATAGATAAATAAATAAAACCATTTTGTTAGCTATAAAGTCAGAAGGATTTTGCTATGATACATGGAATTTGCAATATTTTCTTTTTAATTTTTATTTTATTCATATGTGCATACATTGTTTGGGTCATTTCTCCCCCCTTCCCCCTCCCTCTCTTACCCCCCCAAACCCTTGCTACCAGGCAGAAACTATTCTGCCCTTATCTCTAATTTTGTTGAACAAAGAGTATAAGCAATAACAGGAAGGACCAAGGGTTTTTGCTAGTTAAGAATAGCTATACAGGGAGTTGACTCGCATTGATTTCCTGTGCATGTGTGTTACCTTCTAGGTTAATTCTTCTTGAACTAACCTTTTCTCTAGTTCCTGGTCCCCTTCTCCTATTGGCCTCAGTTGCTTTAAAGTATCTGCTTTAGTTTCTCTGCATTGAGGGCAACAAATGCTAGCTAATTTTTTAGGTGTCTTACCTATCCTCATATCTCCCTTGTGTGCTCTGCTTTATCATGTGCTCAAGTCCAATCCCCTTGTTGTGCTTGCCCTTGATCTAATGTCCGCATATGAGGGAGAACATACGTTTTTGGTCTTTTGGGCCAGGCTAACCTCACTCAGAATGATGTTCCCCAATTCCATCCATTTACCTGTGAATGATAACATTTCGTTCTTCTTCATGGCTGCATAAAATTCCATTGTGTGTAGATACCACATTTTCTTAATCTGTTCGTCAGTGGTGGGGCATCTTGGCTGTTTCCATAACTTGGCTATTGTGAATAGTGCCGCAATAAACATGGGTGTGCAGGTGCCTCTGGAGTAACCTGTGTCACAGTCTTTTGGGTATATCCCCAAGACTGGTATTGCTGGATCAATGGATCAATGTTGCTTTTTAAGTAGCCTCCAAATTTTTTTCCAGAGTGGTTGTACTAGTTTACGTTCCACCAACAGTGTAAGAGGTTCCTTTTCCCTGCATCCTCGCCAACACCTGTTGTGGTGGTGTTGCTAATGTGGCTTTTCTAACAGGGGTGAGGTGGAATCTAGTGTGGTTTTAATTTGCATTTCCTTTATTGCTAGAGATGGTGAGCATTTTTGTGTGTTTTTTGGCCATTTGATTTCTTCTTTTGAGAAAGTTCTGTTAGTTCACTTGCCCATTTCTTATTGGTTCATTAATTTTGGGAGAATTTAGTTTTTTAAGTTCCCTATATATTGTGGTTATCAGTCCTTTGTCTGATGTGTAGCTGGCAAATATTTTCTCCCACTCTGTTGGGTGGTCTCTTCAGTTTAGAGACCATTTCTTTTCTTGAGCAGAAGCTTTTTAGTTTTATGAAGTCCCATTTATCTATGCTATCTCTTAGTTGCTGAGCTGCTGGGGTTCCATTGAGAAAGTTCTTGCCTATACCTATTAATTACAGAGTATTTTCTACTCTTTTCCTCTACCAACTTTAGAGATTGGGGTCTGATATTAAGGTCCTTGATCCATTTTGATTTGATACTGGTATAGGGTGATAAACATGGATTTAGTTTCAGTTTTTTGCAGACTTCTAACCAGTTTTCCCAGCAGTTTTTGTTGAAGAGGCTGCTATTTCTCCATCGTATATTTTTAGCGCCTTTGTCAAAGACAAGTTGGTTATAGTTGTGTGGCTTCATATCTGGGTTCTATTCTGTTCCACTGGTTTTATGTCTGTTTTTGTGCCAGTACCATGCTGTTTTTATTGTTATTGCTTTGTAATATAGTTTGAAGTTGGGTATCGTGATACCTCCTGCATTGTTCTTTTGACTGAGTATTGCCTTGGCTATTCGTGGCCTCTTATGTTTCCATAGATTTTTCAATCTATTTGATGAATGTCATTGGGATTTTGATGGAAATTGCATTAAATATGTAGATTAATTTTGGAGTATAAGACATTTTTACTATGTTGATTCTACAAATCCATGAGCATGGGAGATCTCTCCCTTTCTATAGTCCTTTCCTCATCTCTTTCTTCAGAAGTTTATAGTTTTCCTTTGAGAGGTCTTTCACATCTTTTTGTTAGGTTTCACTAGGTATTTGATTTTTTTTGAGGCTATTGAAATAATGGAATTGTTTTCATATATTCTTTTTTCAGTTTGTTCATTATTAGTGTATAGAAATGCTAATGATTTTTCTAATGTTGATTTTTATAATCCTGCTACTGCTATAGCTTTTGATGATGTCTAGAAGCTTCTGAGTAGAGTTTTTTTGGGTCTTAGAATATAGGATCATATCTCTGCAAATAGGGATATTTTGACAGTTTCTTTCCTATTTGTATTCCTTTTATTCCTTCTTCT